ATATTCTCTGGTTGGAGCATCAGACTCTGAGAGCCCCAAGGATCCAGGTTAGTTGACTCTGTTGATCTTCCTGTGTCTCCATGTGGGTCCTAAACAACTGGAGTGGGGGCTATCCCAAAAGCTGATGCCTGTACATGGGATATGTCCTTCTAGCTGGGCTGCTGTGTCTGCCCTCAGTAGGAGAGGAAGCACCTAGCCTTGCAGAGACTTGAAGTGCCAGAGTCAGAGGGGTGGGGGGAAGCCAGTGGGCCTCACCCACTTAGAGAAGAAGGGGAGGTGGGAGGGGGAAGATTGTAGAAGGAAGTGACAGGGAGGGGACAATGAATGGGATGTAAAATGAATAAGTAAAAAATTAAATTAAAATTTTAAAAAATGTTTAGAACTAAAAGTAAAGGGAGGAAAACGCACATTAGGATGGGGTGTTTAATTTTGATTGGGAATGTTAATTGGGTGAGTCAAAGAGGGCTTTTGATTGCTGGACTTCAATGCTTCGATACCTGGACCTTGGTGGTCAGCCTCAGGAGGAGGGATTGGCCAAATAAGGGAATAGACCTAGGGGGCTAGCCTTAGGAACTTAATCTAATGGTTTTTAGCTAGGCAGAGGGAATTGGAGAGAAGGATAGGGCCTTCCAGAGCCATGCTTGCTATTCTCGATCAGGTTAGCGTTCCTTCAATCAGCTGTGACAATATTGCATAGTTGTGTTGGAAAGATGGAAGATAAAGGGCATACCTTGTTTCCTAGAAAATAGTAAGTAACCATGTTGGGTTACTTTCTGTTCTGTCCTTAGACTGTACCTATATGATGTACCCTAAACACACAAGAAACGTCTGTTGACTGAGAATTTCTCAGTTGAGAACCAGAAAGAGTAGGGAGTAGGTGGAGTTATTTGGGTCCCATATGTGCATATATGACTAAGGAAGGTGTAAAAACTGAATCAGAGCTGTGGGGTATCCATCAGTTCCTTTTAGTTTTGAGAAGTCTTAAGCACTCCTGATTTCCCATGGCTTTGTTTAGACATTTGTACAAATGGTCAATGGTACACTTTGGGGAGCCATTCTAAACCTATGAATCTAAGTTAATTGTGCTTTGTATTTTAGAAAGGGGAGAGCTATGGTTAAGTCATACAAATGTCACTGGGATTCCACCCAAATGGTGATGACAGATGCTGCATGAAATATATTAAACTTCAAAGCATAGAGATGGGACAGCGAGTCAGGTGATCTTTTAGTTACAGCGAGGCATATCCTTTAGACTCTAAGAAAACATTACTCTGATATTAGGGGATTTATCACACATATAATTATAGCACTGAAATCTTCTACAGAGCTCTTTGAAAATGGCTTGAAACCTCATCACTCTTGTCATGTTAATCTCAGTTACAATAGAAAACAAGCTAAACATCCAATAAGAGGGAAATATTTGGTACCTGACTCTACAGAGGTGTAGAAAATTAAATACCACCGCTCTGTAGTAACATGTTAAAATGTTTTATAGTAAGACACTCCAGGAAGAAAGAATGCATGGTTTGCTAACAATATGATTACTAATTATGTAAAACTTAAGTATAATTATGAATTAGAATTGAACAAGGACCCAGAAAATAAAAGCAATAGATGTGCATGAAATCAGCACACTCCTGGAGTTATGTGTAGCATGTATTTGTGAGGACATTCTGCCGATTCTATCGTAGCATGCCTATGACAGGAAAGTATAGATGCAGAAGGCTGGCTTTAGACTCAGGATTCCTGATTCCAAAGACGAATGATGTCCAGGGACTACGGCACCCTAAAGCATCACCGGTTTCCATTAAAACCTTGTTTATGGAATTACAATTAATTTTATGGAAACGGATTAAGCAGTCTTTTCATTAGTGTGTTCCCAGCCTAATTAAGTTTGGAGTGATGGGTGAGGTCATCCAGGCACAGCCCTTCACATCAGCTGTGCTATGGGTCTTTTGTACCTCGACTGCTAGTAACAACATATAGCAGAGAACTTTCAAACTTCCCCATGGCAGTTGGTAGTTGTACTTGCTTCCCAGAGATCCTAGGAAGGAAAGTTACTATTTCACAGAAGTTATTCGAGGCAATGAGTCCAACAGGATTTGAGCCCATAGAAGGCAATAAAGGTGTCCCTGTGGTGAGCACTGGGGATAAAGGCCTCCCTGTGAGACCAAATTGGGGAAACAAGTTGGTGAATTCAGACTTCTTCCTTCATAAGCTGAAGGGATGCTCAGCTTAAATTCTTTTCACAGTAAAAGATCTGGAAAAGAGGCACATAGTAGCTGTCTCTCTAGACTGAGAACCAAACACTTGCTGGGACCTTTCAAATGTTCTTTGTATTAATGAATTCCAACATACACATACACACACACACACAGGGTAGAGGTGGTGTTATAAGAATGTAATGTCCTGAAAACCATTGACTTTATGGAATATAACAGGCCAAAGACCCCAGCTGTGGCATCCTGAAAGTTACAGACCTGTAGCAGTGAGACTATGCTTCCCACCATTGCTCCAGGCCAGTATTGGGGTGCTGAGGCCGGCCCACTTCCCTGGAAAGTCACAGGGCTTCAGTAAGCCCAGATTTGGGCTCTCAACAGCCCTCTGGTGCTTCCTTAGTCTACAGGGAAGGCAAGAATGCATTTGGTTGACTTTGTTCACCTACCCATGCTGCACAATTTCTTATATTTTTCTCTCTTAATAAAATCTGTGCATATTTCATCCTATTTGGGGCATCTATGTCTTAGGGAATATATATATATATATTATGTGTATACATATTATATATGTGTGTATGTATATATTCATGTACATGAATATATATATGAATGAACACATGAATATTCATATGGATGCATATGTCTATAGGTGTGTACATAGTTGAGTTGTAATTTATCTTTTTTAGTGGATATAAGCTATGTCAATATTTTGCCATTATAAAAAAAATACTAATCCACCCCATGTTTCCAATTACTTTGCTACTAGATATACCACAGCATATACTACCTTTTTGGAAAACATCCAATAACCCAGAGCAGTGCTGCACAAAGACTTCTTTGCTGAACATAGAGAGTTCCTGGCAGAATTTGAATTTTTCTGTCAAACGAGCCCAGCCTTCATGGGTAGGTGTAGAGAACAATGAAGTGAGAACTAACCTCTTCTATGGAAGGGGAAGGACTGGAGGAAAATGTGGAGTTTTTTCACTCATTGCTTCTCATCTCACTCTGGGTGTGACCCTCCTGCTCTACTCTCATCCACACCAGTGAAAGGCTCTGATTGTGTATAAAAGAAGTGCTTCTGAATCACTTCCATGAACTGGGTACAGGGTGCTGCCAGGGGCTCACTGTCAAAGGGAGGTTGGAGGGTCAGCTTTGGGTGTCCTACAGTACCTGCCTGTAGGAGCTCTAACCAGAACCCTTTAGTGAGGGAGTCCAGTAAGTAGGCTCTGAGGTAAAGGGGCTCCAAGTTTTCCCTGTCCTTTCCTTGTCTTCCTGAGACTCAACTGCTAAGAGAGAAGCCACTAAAGCAGCATCTTGAGGCTGAGGAAACCCTTGCTGTCTTGAGTAGAAGAGCTCAGAATTTCATGCCTACTGTCCTGAAACTGGGTGGACAGGAAGAAAGTGTCCTCAGACATTCTAGGGAGAATTGAGAAGTAAAAAAGAGTGTTGAGTCACAAAATCTAATAGAACTAATAATAAATATCCATCGGCACACACCCTTCTGTGCTGGGCCTTTATCCTTAAGTTTATAGGTAATCAGACTGGCCACAGCAATTGGATGACAGCATACTGAATCCCTAAGCAGAAAGAAATTCTCTGATTAGAACAAAAGCTGGTCATGGCCTGGAGCCTGCTTGAACTACCAGCTCCCAAATTTCATTGCTATTCAAGAGCTTAGGAATCTGCCTGGCTACCCAAAACTGAATTATGGGAACAAGGAAAGCAGAGCAGTCCTTCAGCCTCTCTCCCAGGGCCTTCCCATTTGACTTCTAGGGCCTTGCAGTAGACTTTGCCTGCTCCTTGGTAGGAGGCTTCAAGTCTGCTGGGATTTTGTGACTCTCAGTTGTGACAGTGCAGCACACACTACAAATGCAAAGGCTGAAAGCCTTCAGCAATACGCGCTATTTGAGCTATTTGGGTTTCACCCTGGTCTGTCCGTCAGTCTTCATCAGCTTCCTCAGTCTTCATCAGCTTCCTTCTCCTGACTGAAATGTTCTATTGTCTTCTTTTCTTTCACTTAATGACCCCTGACTCCTCATCTCCCTCAAGAATACTTTCTCCATCCAATTCTTATTTCAAGGGAATTTGTTTTGAGTTGCTGTTAGCCACTGATAGAGGCAGGCACTTGTGGGGCAAATTCTTGTATTAATATACCTTCAAGTGTCTCTTCCCCTTATTTTAGCCAAAACTGTATGTCACAAGTTCAGCATGTTGTGAGGCATCCTGTCTATGAATTTGACCTTTTAAACATGTGTTTTAGAACTGTCCACTAAGCATGTGTGGCTACTCTTTCCTTCATAAATTATAGACTTAAACTGAGCATGTTCAGGAACGACTCCTTAACTGAGTGTGTTTAAGAATGGGCCCAGCCCTGCATGAAAATGCACAGGTCACCTAAATAAAACCCTGGGTTCCTTTGGTCCCAAGGGAAAGGGGCACTGCTTTGAAAACAACTCCCATGCTTTCCTTGCCTGTGGCAGGTAATAAATCTCTCTCCACTCTATGTGTTGGCTCTGCCTATTTTGGCTTTGCACTCACCAACTTGTGAACTGCTCCTACTCAGCAATACTATCACCAATGCCTGGTTGCTTTGTATAACCACAAGTAAATGGTTAGACAATAGATGAGATCCTACAAAGGATACTCTTCCATTTGCTAAAGAAAGTACACATGTGTTTGAACATAAAGACTGTTTACAAATAAAATTTGAATTCATGGCAATGAATTCCAGAAGAAGGGTATTAAGGTTTGTACTTGGGTAATCTATTGATATTGTTCCAGATAAAGATGGCCCTGCAACAAGAAGGATTTGACCGTAAAAAGAGAGGGTACAGGGACATCAATGAGATTGACATCAACATGAATGATCCTCTTTTTACAAAGCAATGGTACCTGGTAAGTTTCTCTATTATTTATAATGGCCCACACTTTGAAAGATGAATTTCTATTTCTTTGTTATTTGATAGGATAATAACCAGCATCCAGGCCAATGAATGCCTCTATACCCTTCGATAAGCTTAAATGTCTATCTGTTACCTCCTGTTCAGCTTGCCCCCTAAGCATCTACCAACAGCTGATCACATGGTCTTGCATTCTGAACAGGTATACCCTGTATGAGAATGAAGACTTGCAAACTACCAAAAAGCCAGATCAAATATTTAGAAGTAATCTAGAGGTGTTAACAGGGATAGAAAGGTGAGAGGGACCTGTTAAAGTCACAGCCTTAAGAGTAAGAATCCAGTGTTTTCCTGAGTGAGAGAGGCGAAAGATTGTCAAAGACGGCATTTCAGCACTGCCTGAAACAATGACAGCGAAATCAGGATTCAGAGCACTGAAACCTAGGCTGTCTCATGGCAAGTATTTTCTGGCTCATCTACAATCCATTGGGACCCATGTGGGTTGATTGAGATATGTTTAAAAGATTAATAGGGACAAGAGAGATGGCTCAGTGACTAAGAGCGTGTACTGTTCTTCCAGATGACCCACGTTCCATTCCCAGCACGTATTGTCAAGCAGCCCACAACTGTCTACAACTCCAGCTCCAGTGGATCCCACACCTCTGGCCCCTTAGGCACCTGCACTCACTTTCATAAACCCACACGTGTACACATCATTAAAAATAATAAAAGTAAATCTTTTTTAAAAGGAAATCAATGACTCCAAGCCAACCCAAGTTGCAAAGCACATTATAAATGACTGATTTATAACTGTGAGTGATGGCTTACTTTATTAGGATTAAAAGATGACAAGCAAGGTAGAAAATTAAAGAACATGGACTGCTACACCATAGGAATAAAACCCAGTTTCCCCTGAGGCTTCAGTATTTGGCTGTGCCTTGTGATTTTTGGACATAGAATTCTGAAAACCTGGGTAATTGAATGAGCTTATGTATGTTAATCAGGGTAGGTTTATTACAATAAGAAATAACTCCAAATCACAGTAGCTTCTTAAAATCAACGTCTCCTTTTTTTTTTCTGGTGCTATTTTTTTAAATGCTTCCACGGCACCTCAGCAGGGAAAAGGAACAAACTATGTATGTCTCTTGAAACTTCTGCCTAGGTGTGATGAATAGCACATGAACTCACACTGGACTGGCCAAAACCATGATCACATCACCATTCTAAATAAGAAGGAGGAAAATGAAGAAGGAATATAATCCTTAATGTGGGCCCAGAAGGAAAAGACTAATAACCTTTGTGAAGCATACTAAAGACACTAATGACTTTCCAGTAATGTCTCAGTAATACCAGGACATCCTCTGGTCACCATGGGCCTTTGCCAGCACACACTCCAACCTTACTATTTCTTCATATGCCATCCTTGAGAAAATATGTACAGAATATACATACATGGAAAGAGGCGACTGAAATGCATTAGTGTGAACCAACCCTTAATCTTCCTTTTGAAAAATATGGAGGAGTTAAAATGATAGCTCTGTCACTAAAATGCTTGTCATTGGAAGCATGAGGATCAGAGTTCAATCCCTAGAAACCACATGCAAAGCACTTGTAATGGTGCTTATAAAGTGGCAGCATGTACGTATAATCCCTGAACTGAGGTGTGAGAGATGGGAGACCCTTTGGGCTCACTGGCTAGCCATCCCAACTCTCTTGGCAAGCTCTCAACCATCTGAAAACCCAAAAGGATCACTAAGGAACAACACCCCAAGTTGACCATTAGCCTCCACATACATGCACACACATCCAATGGCACACACACACACTTGCGTTCATACAAACACATACGTACACACACAAAAAACAGAGGAGGATTTTATTTTTCTATACTATAATATACACTGAAGAATGGCCACCTACCTTGAATTTAGTTCAACACGTATTTTAGAGCAAGTTTTAGTATAACAGTACTACAATTCCTCCACACAAAAAAAGTTATTGTCATGTAGTGAAGGAACTTTATTCAGTAATAAGCCAAGATATTATATGTTAAATTCAAAGCATGAGCTTAACAGAGGTTTGACAGAAATCATTTCATTTTCTATTTGGAGGGTTTGCTGTGATAACTTGTCCAAGACCATTATATAAGATGATTTGAATTTTTTTCTGTGGTGCCAGGATTTAAATATAGGGCTTTGTAAGTGCTAGACAAACATTTTTACCACTGAGCAATATGCCTACCCCTGTGAAGAGAATTTGGAGACAGCAATTTAGTTATGAGATGAGGGGATTAGAGCAGTACTTAATCTTTACATAAATCAGAAAAATCGATTGTTTATGTGAAACAAATAGGAAGGGAATTCTTTGGGGTGAAGTAGGCCACCCAAAAGCATGTTTCATGAAGGGTGTAGCCTTTACTACACCCTTCAAGTATCAGCATATGTCACAACATCAAGCCAATCAGATTCTCTGTTTTGAATTCCTCTGTCAGTTCAACACTGGGCAAGCTGATGGAACTCCTGGGCTAGACTTGAACGTGGCCGAAGCCTGGGAGCTGGGATACACGGGGAAAGGAGTGACCATTGGAATCATGGATGACGGTGAGTACATCAGAGGCCTCACATCATTTGCAAGTGAGTGCCTTTCACACCTCTGAGCATTAGACTTGGGGTTCCAAGAAGCCCATTAGCAATCAGCAATTCTGATACTGGACCTGACGGCCACACCGCAATTTGATCAAATTCTCCCCTTCATCCTGATCAGTGTCCTGGTAGTTGGTGATGCTCTCAACAAGTATTGCTTGAACTGATAAATAAGAAACTAAAGAAACCTGTCATTACCTCACTTCCTTACTGACCTGGTTCTTACAACTTGCCTGAAATGTCTTCTAACCCTATGTATATTTGCCTTCTGTTTCTCTAGATCCATGATTTAAAATTCAGTTCTTCACAGCAGCTCCATTTCACATTCTAGAGTTTAGGTTTTTGGCTATCGGGAGCCCAGCCCAGGTCCTTGCACACATGCTAGACAATTGCTTTTCTACTCATCCATATCCTCAACTTCCTTGTTCGAAGTAGCCACATGGGCTGTTTGAACTGCTGAAGTCAACATTCATTTCAATAACCATAGAAAGTTCTATCTGAGAGTGTGGCTTTGGGTCCGTGACAAGATTGGGGTTTAGAAAAAACTAGTTTACAGGCTACTTTCAGAACAAGCCCCTGTCGGGCAGACTTTGATAATGGTTATGTCATTGATAGCCCCATATATTTTAACAGAGTTTTGTGAGTGATTTTATAACTGCACATGGCTTGCCTCTGTGGGGATCCTGCAGCAGCACCATTCTTCAGTCATTTTGCTAGGATGACCTCCTGTCCTTGTTCAGCTCCCCAGCTATCCCTCTAAAAGTCCCACTGTGCATCATTAATTACCTACAAAGCCTATATAAGAGGGGAGACAATGGAGCCTCTCTCTTTTGAACATCCTCAAAGCACACTGTTGACTAAAAGCAAGCCTTTGAAGCAGAATTGATAAAGAAAACAAGGGAAACCGGGATGCTCAGAACCTGTCCTGTCTTTGTGGGAGCTCATTAGACAATGTAAAACACTGCCTCGGTAAGCATCTAATGTGTGAGATGTTTTGAAGTGGACGTTAAAAGCCTTCTCCAGTCCTGAGAAGAAAGAACTATGTGGGCAGATGTCAGAGCTTATGAATATAGTCTTTCCTTCTGAACACTTTGGCTTAGACTACTTTTCAGAGCAGCTGAGGCCAGCCTATCCAGAAAAAGACACATCTAATTTTGAAGAAACCACCTAGGATATTCTGTGAAAGCTAATGGAACAGCTCATTTGGGAGTCCTGTACTGTAAATAGAGAGGTCCACCTTAAATGTGGCACAGCAATGACAACCTCTCTGATCAATCAACGCCAACCTGATCAACCCCCAACAGCATTGTAGGTGCCAATTTCAGCTTCTGTTATAGCCTCCTCAAATGACACTCAAGCCATTCCTTCCAAAGATGGCCAATGAGAAGATGCCTCACTCTGCCCCAGACTGAGAGGCAAAACTCTTTAGTAAGTCCCAGAAGGGTTTCCTGTTTTGTCTTAGTTCTATTGGTGACTTGTCACTGGGATCCTCATAAGTTGAACTCACCGTCCCTCAATTAAAATTTCTTCATTAAAATTCTCTATTGTTTTGGCCACCACTGCTACAGAACAAGCCAACTAGAATAACTTTTTTTTAAAAAGTTACTGTGTCTTAGAGTTCTGTGATAGATTCTGCTGGAAAGTTCTGCTGCTGTCTCTAAAAAAAAGAAAAGAATGTTTTCCATCAGGGAAGAAGGCTCAGTCAATAAAGCACTTTTGTACAAGTGTGAGGACCTGAGTCCCCATCCCTGGCACCCATGTAAAAGCTGAATGCAGCAATACACATCTGTTACCCCAACAATGGGGATGAAAGTCAGATGGCAGATCCCTGGAGTTCACTGGGATATCAGCCTCACTGAATCAGTGAGGGCAGGGTGCAGTGAGAGGTCCTGCCTCAGAGAATAAGGCAGAGAGCAACTGAGGAAGACACCTGACATCTCCCTCCGGCATAAGGACACATGCAACATACATACATACACACACACACTCACACACACACACACATGCACACGCACACCACAGAACATGTGTTCAATATATTCTACTTTAAAAGATAACCAAACATACAAGAACATTTCAACACTATCAATCAGGTTATTAATTACATTCAGATCATTCTTTTATTGGTAGAACAATGTCTTTCATCCTTTACAATTCTATCAATAATATTTTTATTCCCATGACTGTAAACATTCTACCAACATTTTTTCTCTTAACTTCATTAAAGATTCTTTCTAATAATTATAATAAATATATTTTATTGAAATCTAATTGCCTCCTGGTCTCGTATTATCTCCTTACACTCATATTTCTCTTCACAGAGAAGAGATTACCAATTCTTCTCTTAAACAAAATCTATTTTCAGAACATGGAATCATGTTTTTAAAATTGACCTCTAACTTAAAAGGCATACCCTTTATGTGTAGTTGTGGAGAGGAGGTCAGGGCAGTGTTTAACTTATATTTGTTACAAAACTTTTTGCTTAACAACGTTAAATAATTTCAGCAAACATAGTCAATTTCATTTCCACACAAATTTTAATATCAAGCCAATTTCTAAAACTGTTTTTACTAGCAATTTCTTCTGCTAATATTACTCGAGCAATGTGAGAAATTGTGGTATAGTTGCTTATTTATTGGTATGATCAAATACTCCGACAAAATGAAAGCTGGGGAAGGGAAGCATTTACTTTGGGTTACAGTTCCAGAGGGGAGACAGTGTACCATAGCAGGGGATGCAGGACAGCTCACCTGGCAGTCAGGAAGGTGAGAGAGAGAGAGAGAGAGAGAGAGAGAGAGAGAGAGAGAGAGAGAGGGAGGGAGGGAGGGAGGGAGGGAGGGAGGGAGAGAGAGAGAGAGAGAGAGAGAGAGAATAGGAAGTGAGACTATGATAGGAATGTCAAAGTTCACCTTCACTTATGTACTCCCTCCAGTGAGGCTCCACCCACTAAAGGTTCCACAACCTCCCCAAATACCAGCACCAGCTGGAGAGCAAGAGTTCACATGTATGAGCCTGTGGGGGTAATTTTATATTCAAATCACAAGTTCCTACCCCTGGTCCCATAGTCTCGAGGCCATCTCATAATACAAAATATGTTTAGTCCAATTTCAAAAGTCCTATAGTCTTTAAAAGTCGCAACACTTTTCAAATGCCCAGTCTTTCTGAGACTCGAGGTAAACCCTTATTGTAAACTAAAACCAAAAGATAAATTATATACTTCTGATATATAAAATATACATAACCAATCCAAAAAAGGAGGAATGGAGACACAGTAAGGAAATGTTGAGCAAAAATTAGACTGAAACTAGCAAGATAAATACCAAAACCTGTAGTTCCATGTCTGGCAACTGGGGCTTCAGTTTCAAAGAGTTTAGACAACTCCGCCCTTTAAACTCTGCTGCCTGACATCTCTCTCTCTCTCTTTTAGGGTTGTTATACTCCTTATGTGCAGTCCTCCATAGCAGGTATCTCCAATATCTTCAAATCTCCATCATAACCCAGGCTTCAACTTCACAGCTTTGCAGAATAGCCTATCAGGACCCCTTAGAACCTCACAGGGACTCCAAGTCTACAAGCTTAACACACATTGCCCAGTCACACACACTCCCTGAAACCACAGAGTGAAAGCTGTGCCTCCACTCTCACAGTGAAGAATGTTGACAGCTTCTGCTACCAGCCTGGGGTAGAGCCTATTTCTTTGAGCCACAGTTGTTACATTTGCTCACTAATACTGGTTAAAAAAAAAATCCTAGATATTTGCTTTCTAGAACCAGGAAACCTCTGAGTCTTTCTCCTTTCATAAGGAGGATCTTGCCTTCAGAGAACCTTTCCTGATATTTTAGGGTAGAGCAGGAAGCTTTGTAATGGCAGGAATCCCAAAAAGAACAGTCTCTTTTTCAGTATGTGCCTTGGCTGAAACTTTAAGCTTCCTGATGCTCCTTTTCCTCCCCATTGTGCACACTTAATCAGGAAGAACCATTCCACAGAATGTTTTTCTCTCTGGAAGTTTCCTCCACTGAGGAAATTAGCCTATTCTTTTTTAATTTAGCCTCATGCAAGTTCTCAGGACACAGGCAGAACACAGTCAGATTCTTTGATGAAATATCTCTAGCCCAGTTGCTGATAAAATCCTTAAACTTCATGAGCTGGGTCTCTACTGTTCATTACACTCTTAGCACTTCTGTCTTCCAAGCCTCTATAAGAATGGCCCACTAAGTTCTGCCCACAGCACTTAATAGCTTTTCTAGCTAAAGTTCCGAAGTCTTCTAATCTCCTCCAAAAAACCGCATGAACAGATTTATCACAACAACAAATCTACTTCTCTGAAGCCAATTTTTGTATTAGTTAATTTCCTGTTGCTGAAATAAAATACTCTAGGGCTGGAGTGATTGTTCAGCGATTAAGAGCACTGACTGCTCTTCCAGAGCTCCTGAATTCAATTCCCAGCAACTAAATGGTGGCTCACAACCATCTGTAATGAGATCTGATGCCCTCTTCTGATGTGTCTGAAGACAGCTAGAGTGTACTCACATACATTAAATACATAAATAAATAAATAAATAAATAAATAAATAAAATACTCTCACAAAAAGCAGATTGGGTGTAGGGGTTTTATTTTGGCTTATATTTCCATAGGAAATTCAGTCCATTACTGCAAAGGCACGGAGGAACATGAAGCCAGCCTGCAGACTGGTCATATTTCTCCTCACACAGGAGGCAGAGATAAATAACAGGAAATGGGGCCATAATATAAAACCTCAAAACACACCTTCAGTGACATACTTCCTCCAGTGATACTTCACCTCCTGAGGATTCCATAGCACTCTCGAGAAGTACCACCAGCTGAGAAACCAGTGTTCAAATATGAGCTGGAGGGGACATTTTATTTGCAAACCACAATAATGACATTTCTAATAATGACGATGGGAATCCATTAGTGTGTTTACTGTTAGCCAAGCACTTCTATGAATTGGTTTTAACCTGTGAAAGAGATTTCCAAGGTAAATCTTAGCCCCATTTCAAAGATGACAAAGTCAAAGCTCAGAGATACTGTGTTATTTGATAAAATCCACGTTAGTGTTACTGTGTCTGGCACTTGAATAGAACTGGATCTGTTGGTCTCGACGCCTGTGTTCACCCCAACCCTGTAGCTCACTTTTCTTCTTTGTCAGAGGAGTAGAAAGAGAAGGCATCATGCCCATGAGTGACAAGTGACTAGCTGTACTCCCACGTCATTGTTCAAGAACTCTCAGCCCATAAATTATAAATGTGACCAGGAAAAAAAAAAAAGAAAATCTCCTTTTAGAATATATGCATCCTAACTCAAGAAGTTTTATTTGGTTTTACTTGATCTTGGTTTTCTTTGTTTGTTTTGTTTTGTTTTGGTTGATTGGTTGGTTGGTTAGTTGGGTTTGGGTTTGGGTTTTTGGGGGGGTTTTCGGGGCTTGGTTGCTTGGTTTTTATTTGGGTTTGTTTGTTTGTTTGTTTGGTTTTTGTTTGGGTTTCTTTTTGGTTTTTGCTTTTTTGTTTTTTTACCACAAAGCCTTAGGATGGCCCTGTGTAGGAGGGCTGACACAGCCTTAGCATGTATAACAAAAAGATGCCAGCAGAAGGTGTTTAATGATAATTCTAGCTTATAAGTCTAGCATCCCAGGATAGTTATAAAATGCATCTACTGCTGACCTAGACATACCACATTCATGAGCTTCTTTGAGACATGCCCTTTTCTCATCTCCAATTGTTCAAAAAGGAAATAAGCACAGGGAGGTCAAGCAACCCGCCTAAAGTCACACTGCTCGTTATCACAGTGATTGGGAGTCAAATTCTGCTCTTTGGCTCCAAATACCTTCATTTATAACCATAGTTGCAGGGCCGTTGCTCCACATATGCACAAGTACAGCATATGCTAAGATACTATAGCACAGCAGAGCTGGTTAAGAACTTTTCAGTTGCCCCTCATGTTCTACAGTGATTTCTGAGGTCAAAATCAAATTTTCTGATGGTACTCGGCAGCATAAATAAACCGTAATTCTACCCTAGCAATGACTCCTGAGCACAGAATAGGCTTCGACTCAAGAGCAAAACACAGAACTCCAACCGAGGGAATTGAAGCTCTGGCTTTCCAGAAAGGCACGTTCTGGAAAGACAAGCATGAGCTCCCAGCTGGCAACACCTCACTAGAAACCGCTAGCTTTCTCCTAATGGCTTTTCTTGCCTAGCCGTGCGCCTCTTATTTCCATGCTGGAGTGTGCTCTCCTAATCCGTTGTTCTCCGTGCCCTGTTAAATAATCATGGCTTTTCCTCCCCGGGGCCAGCTTCATTTCAGAGGAGATGCGTTAGAAATGTCAGGATTTCTACAAATCTCTTTTACATCGCTGCAGCGATGAGCCATCCATCTCACAGTCACTAAGCCCCTTACTGCTGACATTTATCCGGAAACATTATCCGTGGGCCCGGAGCTCTAATTGGCTTCACTGCTCTGCAGTACGTCTGGGGGCAGCTGTCTCTCCACCAAGGAAGTGATGCAGCCCTCCTCCACACAGAAAGGCAAAACAAGGCAAGGCAGAGGGTTCAGGATAAGCACTGCCCCCACTCCATAAAGCCCCTGACTCCCACAAGTCTTCTGCACCACTCCTGCAGGGAACATCTATTCCTGGGCAGCTTTGAAGACACAAGCAGGCGTTAATTAACCTTCCACTCTTGTGTTATCTTTTCACAGGAATTGACTATCTCCACCCAGACCTGGCCTACAACTATGTAAGTACAAGTTGATTTTAAGGTGTGAGAAATGTGTGCTTTTAACCAACCTGCTGCATCTTGTATACTATAGCATAGCATGAATCAGCCCATCTTGTTAGAGCCACTACTCATATATGGGAGCTGGACACATGCCAAATGGGTGGCTTTCTGAGAAGAAGGATAACAAGCTGAAGTTTGGAGGAACAGACTGCCAAGAAAGTAGACAGAGGGAGAGGCAGAGAGGAGAGCAGGGTGGCAAGGCTTGAACCAACGTCACCGGCAATCCTCAAGTGAAAGAGATAATCAAACTATCTGGGTTCTTGTTGGCAAAAACTGAAGACCAAGAGCCAAAAACTGCAGGAACTCACATTGCAACCATCACTTTGTGTATTACTTGTTCCTTAACTACTTGCATCTATTGTATTGCTAGACCCTCAACCTAGAACTGACCTTAATACATGCATGTAATTAAAAAAAAAGAGAGTAATAATAGGACAGTAGGCACTGGATTTCATTCATAACCTCATATTTAGATAATGATCTCATGCCAAATGTGTTGCTCAAATCAACTTCTTTAGAACTGGAAATCTCTTGTTAAATGCTTTAAAAATACAAATGGGAATTCTGAATATAAAGAACAATTTCTCTTTTACAGTCAAAAAATTATATTAGATACTAATATGTATTTCCTAATAGTCATATATGTATAAATATTATATATTATTATATATTGTCCTATTATATATTATATAATATATATTTATACTATATTGTACAATATAATTAATTGTACAATATAATATAGTGTATATGTTATGCATTATATACTAGTATTAGAGATGATATAGTAATATATATATATATACATATATATACATATATATGTATATATATATATATTACACTATATGAAGTGCATCATGGGTCATCCAGTCACTGTGGCCTCCAAGGGAAATGACAAAAAAATAAACCAAAGCTTTACTGCAGGTGATAATAACTCATAGCTATGGAGAAGACAGTCATAGGTTGCCTGTACATGACAGCCTGCACCACTGATCCTGTGGGTCATGTCTAAGGAACCCTTCTCTAGCCTGTCCCAGAAGTCACCTGCCCCACTGCCAGCTCACATGTGTCTAGCTGTTCATTTACTTTCTTGAAATGGCCTCAACTCATCACCTTGGACAATTCTTCTCTACATTTCTTTTCTGTGTCACGGAGCCCTGAGATGTCACTGATGGGGAGACTGAAAAGAGCAAGTGGTTTGTTTTCTACTGTGCTCTGGTATCCCAGGGCCTTCCCTCCTGGAAGTATGTTTCCCTTGGGGATGTTATCCTGCAGCCTTGGAGAATTGCCTACACTTACTGAGACACTGGTATTTCCCATAATTTTCTTCAGCCCCAGAGCCCAGGACATCAGAAGTAGCCACACAGGGCCATCACTGCCTTGTGTCCCAGAGGACCTCAAAGAGGGTGTGTCCCTCTTGTCTGAAAGACTAATGATATCTACCCTCCTTACTGTGCACAGATTTTAGCTCCACAAAAGCCTAAACCACAAAAGCAACCTTTAGGTTGCAACCCCTTCAGCAAACCTCTATTTCCAAAAATATTTATATTATGATTCATAAAAGTAGTAAGATTACAGTTATGAAGTAGCAATGAAAAAAAGTTTATGGTTGGGGATCACCACATGAGGAACTGTAAAGGGTTGTAGTGTTAGGAAGGTTGGGAGCCCCTGGCAAACGCACACCTGAGTCTGGAGAGTGCTAGCTGTGCAGACCAGCAATATCAGAAGCATCTGAGACCCCATGGCTTATGAGCGCTAAGCTTTTTCCCCTTTATTCCTTTTCCAGAGATGTGGATAAAGGCATGACCTATTTGGAAAGGTATAAAATAGATTCAAAACTGTCATTTAACACCGTCAACCTGAATATCGGGGGCCTTGGTTCTATGTGTTTCTTTTTATTTCATCAAAGTGAATTCTGGGTGTATATTATGTTCCCACATCTTCATATGTTATGAACATTTTTACATTTTTAAGCATCTTCATTATTTTGAGGGCTATGTGGAATCGCTTCACACTGTAATTTAAGCACTACTTATAAGGTAGATTTTCAGTTCACCTCAAGGGTTAACTGTCCTGTGATTGAGGCTAGTAAGTACATAGGAAAGATGAGTTCTCCGTATCTGAAAACACAGAGCTGGGTTGTGGCCCCTGGGAGGGGATGCTGAAGAGCACATGTGCGTGCTAACTTTAATCCAGATCAGTGGTTCTCAACCTTCCTATTGCTGTGACCCTTTAACACAGTTCCTCAGAACATAAAACACAGTGACCCAAGAACATAAAATTATTTTCATTGCTATTTCATAACTGTAATTTTGCTATTGTTATGAAATGCAATGTAAACACCTGCTTTCCCGTGGTCTTAGGACGACCCCTGTGAAAGGGTCATTTGACCTTCAAAAGGGATTGAGAACCACAGATAATATCTAATAAATGAGCAGAAAAACATAAATTGTGTTTAAAGATTTACATGTTGATAACTTTGTCTAGAGCAAAGTCCAAGCGAACACTCATTAAAGGACCCGGTACCTTCCAAAGAATGAGTGCACACCTCCGTTTGTCTAGGAAGCTTCCTGGCTCTTGGCCATGCTCAGAAAGCTAAGCATCCTACTACCTCACTCTTAACTCCTCAGCAGAGAACCCCAAAAGACCAGTTCTCTCAAATCATGGTGTTTCTCTGTCTACATAGAGTTGAGACAGAACCTAACAATACAATTTATCTTCTTTATTTTTTACTAAAAATGTTTACACAATCATTAAGCGTAAGCGAAGTCAACCTGCCGAGGAGAGCAGTGACATCAGCAGATGAAGATAGGCTCAAGCACTGAGTGAGAAAAAAATTAACCGACCTCATCTTCTCATTACTAACTAATTTAATGGCTTAGATGTGATGAACTCACTCCGGTGCTCTTCTAGGAAAAGAAGCTTTGGGGAGGTACTTATTTGGATTTTCCCAGAAACAAATCCCTGAGACAGTAGTTTCAGCAGAACTACTTTCTTTCTGCATGGTGCCAGAAAGCAGAAATGGAGGAGAGAAGGTAGCCATGATCGGAGGTACATTCTCAAACATGTGACCACTGCTGGTAGCTGGAACTTAACACCCCCCCACACACTTGGACAATCTGAGAGATGAATAAATGCTCCAGAGTACCAGAGCCATCTCACCTGCCATGGGACACCTGGGGACTCTGCACCAACTTCTGCAGCCCCAGTCGTTGCTTTAGAGCTAATCCCAGCTGATCCTTATAGTTCCTCTTGAGCCTGGAGGACAGCCCCCATCCATGTTTAAACAGTGGATGCTCACCAAGAACATGCAGGTGTCAACCGAAGAGATACATGACAGCACCTGCAACCATTGTGTACTGTGAAAATCTCTTAAGGGTCAAAATAAACTAGAATGTTCTATATTGCGGGAACTAACCCCTCTTTTTTATTAATTTATTTTCAATAAAAAGTGAAAATTCTACCTAAAGCAAAGTTTTTTCAGAGCTTTGTTATTCTGTATAGCCAGAGACAGAGAGAGTGTGTGTGTGTATGTTCTGAGTAGTTCAGGGCTCTTTCCACTAAACTAAGAATCAAAATACTTTGAAAATTGCAAATCAATATATAAATGTAAGTCTTTAGCATTAATTTAATTCAACAAATCAACACTGAGCCTGTTGAGTGGAGAGCAAAGGATAATTGCAGCCACTTCGTGATTATTCTATTGTTCAAAGGTTGAATTGAATCTCAGGGTCTGACCAATTTGTAAGAGCTTACTATTCCAAATAATTAAAACTCTCCTTTTTTTCATCCCAATCTCAATAACCATGAAATGAGTACTGGCCAAGAGAGTGTTTGGACCAAGTTAGAGCCTCATTTCCTCGTCCCCCTTATGCTGCAACTGTCTGAGCCATTTCCCTAGCACAGAACAGTCACCATGTGTTAAGCCACGTGCAAGACTGGGGAAAGAGATGGCAGAGAGGTGCTGGCACCAGCTGAGTAAGGGTGCAGGCAGGGAGTGTCTCACAGCATGGCTTAGGAGTAAGCAAAGGGGACAGTGACTCTGTTCTGTGGCTCTTAGCCCATGATAATTCCAGACTGTGAATGTAGCACTGGGCCAAGGCTGAGGCTGCACTAAGTCTGGGGCAGAAGGACTACTTCGTCAGGAATGTGTGGCGCATGGAAGAGTTGGCAGCTTTCAGAGCTTGGGAGCAGGTAGGGAAGAATCTCACCTTTGCTTCATTGGCTAGCCTTGCTGAAGTCACGAGTCACACATGGCTGGTGGGCCTGTTAAATTCAGAGAGGATATTCCAGCTGTGTTGGAGTTTTCTCCAGAGATTAGTATTTACACAAAGATTTGAAGCTCTCTGAGTATGCCACTTCAGTTCAAAGACATTTTCCTTCTTTTCATTGTTTCCCTAAACAACAAACTGTCAGATAACAAGTACAGCGTTCCTATTGTTTTAATGACTGTAAGTCTTGTAGAAATGGGCTCAGATATGTCCCATCTGTGGTCTGTGGTCTACATATGGCCCAGGATGGCTTCCCTTTCTCCTTACCTACGCTTTGCTTGAACTAAGAGTCTTTGAGATTATTCTAAGAGTCTTTGAGATTATTTTTGGTCTCTTCCACTCTTTGCTCTTAACTTTCCTAGCCTCACAACCTTGTACTTGACCTGGGTTGGCTGACCTCTTTATCAGATAACTCTGAGCTCACTGGAAGTCGGGCTGGGCACTTGTTTCCTGAGTTGCTGCTGAACTGTCTCTCTGTCAGCCTAACCTGACTGGTGCAGAGCTATCATCTCAGCTCTCTCCAGAGGAAAATGAAACTTTACTGAGTATCTCTCCTGTGTCTGTCCGGATACACATATTATCTCAATAATACTGACAGTGTCAGCAAACATGGCTGGACTTCTACTGTGCCCCTTTCACTAACAAAGAAATCAAAATGCAAAATCTAAGGTTACACAATTAGGA